CCCACAGTAGCGCTAAGCCCAGGAGGGGAAGGGACACACGACCACAATCAGCTCCTTGGACAACTTGATGCCACTGGGCCCGAGGGCTCATCGTCCATCCCAGGCCATGCCCTGACCCCCACCCTTCAGGCATCAGGACCTCTGGCTGAAGCAGTGACCCCTGCTGCCCTGGATGGAAGCTACCACAGAGATGAACGTGAGGCTGAGCCAGGGGAGTACAGGCTACCAGCATGGGCTCTCTCCACTGCCCTGAAGGGGTGGCGGCTGCCTCCCCAGGTCACTGGTGTTCCAGGCCCGGGGTTGCCATGATCTGGGATGGTGGAAGCAGCAAGGATTAGACCGGTCCTGGCATGGGCTCCCAGCCGGCCAATGGCGGAGCCTTTCATGAGTACCGCACCCTATGCTCAATGTGTATGACCCCCGCTGGTTATCTTTCCCCATTTCTTCTCCCCCATCTTCCTGCCAAGTGGCCAAGACCGAGGGAAGGGGTGGTTAGCCTGGAGAAGATTCAAGAGGGGACGCATTTATTAAATGCTTACTGTGTACCAGCCCTGTGCCAAGTGCTGGAGACACAAAGAAGGGGAGGGCTAGTCCTTGCCTCCAGAAACGTACACTCTGGTAAATAAAGGGACGCACACAAGCTCCTTACAGGGGAGATGAAGGGGATCTCGGGGCAGGCACCAACAACCCAGGTACGCTGGACAGCTCCCTGAATGCGGGTTGGAGCCAGTCTCGAAGGAAGCCAGTATATCTGGGAGATGGAGGTCATTCCAGGCCCAGGGGACGGGCAGCGGCAGGGTCGGGTGGCCGAGCCCACACAGGGAGGATTATAACCAAGGCCCCCTCACCCCAGGTGGGTCAGTGCAAGCAAGAAGTGGCAAAGGTGGGAGGGAGAGCCGGAATTGGAACCAGGTCCTCCACCTTCCAGTCTAGCTTCTCTGGGTCCGATTGGCCAGCCCTGCTCCCTCGCCTCCTCCAGGGAACCAGCCCCACAGGTCTGTCCCTGGCTCTCTCTGAACCCTGGCTCTGGGCTCTGATCCACCCTGGCCCCTCCCCAGAAGAGGGGGCACCTTGGTTTACGGAAATCACTGAATCTCAGGGGTGGGGGGACTTTGTATCTGGGTAAGAATCCTCAGTACCCCTTCAGAGCCTTCCAGGGAGATTGACCTTCCACCCTGGGATGGCTCTGGGTGATGGGAGGGTCCCGGCCTGAGTCGGCCACTGGGACCAAACAGTACCAAACTTCCTACTGTCTGTAAGAATAAATTCCTTGGTCTTGCCCGTCCCAGCTCTCCAATCCCCTGGGGGGCCTGGTGGGAGCTGGGGGGGGGAGGGCTAGGCAGGGCAGCCAAGCAGGGCCCAGGAAGGAAGGGATTTCTCAGACTTCCCCTATCCAGCTTGGGAGAGGCGTCTTCTGTCCCTGAGCCTGAGCTTCATTGGCCACCTTTGGCCTTCCTCCAAAGCAGCCAATGGGCAGCCGTGGGGTGTGTGCAGGCGTGTGTCTGGGCCCAGCAGGGGGCTAACCCCTCGTGCTGTCCTCCTCGGGATGGGGTCTCAGACTAAGAGTGAACGAAGGCTCTGGAGGGTTTGTTGTTTTTCAGTCTTCAAAGGAGCTGGGGGGCCGCCAATGTGACCCTTGGAGAGGCCCCAGAGCTCTGAAAGGCAGCCCTGCATTAATGGGGCATACATTAGCATCTCATTGCCCGGGAGCCCAGCAGCAGCTATTACCTCAGTGCCCAGCCAACCTCGTCTAAGGAGGGGCAGACCAGGCTGTTGCGGGGCCACCCACCAAGCACTAGCCTCCCAGCCCCACATGAACCTCTCCTGGGCCACGGAGCCCAGCCTAGCCCAGTAGGGGTGAGAGCAAGATGTGGGGAAGGCCCCAGCTGACGAGTGGGTGGATGTGAGCAGGGGTCCCAGACCCTCCCACAGAGATGGCAATGTGACCACACTGCTGAGCATTCCCATTCAGTTATTCTGGGCAGCCGGGCAGCCATACTGACTCATCGGGAGGCTAGCCATGGGCGTCCCCCATATCCCAATCGAGGCAGGGAAGGTGGGCAGAAGTATTCATTACTCTCAGAAATAAATCAGCAAAATTCCTTTCCTAAAATTGCTTATCACTGGAGAAGCAGCCACGGGCATGTTGGACAGTTGGTTTTATCTATCTGGGCCAGGGAGGGAAGCAGAATGGTTTTCATATCGAGTTTATGCAATTGCTTGTAATATTCATGAGAACCACAGCAAGGATGGGCTGGTCTTTGTGTGGAGCCTGTGCCCAGGTCATGCTCAAGGCTTCCAAACCCAGAAGCTAATGCTGAGCAACAAAGTGGTTCAGAGAGTGTGCCCCTTTCCCTCAGGACCCAAGGCTCTTGAAACCTGAGATGAACCCAGAAAGTCACTCTGAACACTTGCTCATGGGGCTGAGCAAACCCTGAGGGCAGAGAGGAGTCAGCTTCTCCTCCCTTCCTGTTGGCAGAGGAAGCCAGTGATCCACGTGTGGTGACCCGACCCGACCTGGTGCAAGGAAGACCACAGGATAGAGTGGGAGAAGTAAACATCCATAAATATCAAGAAAGTCATTGATAACTCTTCCACAAGCTGAATGTTTGCAGATATGAAAGGGAGAGAGAGAAACAGGGACAGAGAGCAAAATGGAGAAAGACAGAGAGAGGGAGACAGAAAGGGAGAGAGAAGGAAGAGAATGGGGGTACTGCCTACTGACTTTTGTGTCTTATTTCTGCATTCACATTTCTCTGCTTTGCTGCAAAGCTCATCTTTTCTGTCATGTCATCAACCATGGCCATTTACTAAAGGGGGTATTGACATCAGGGTCTTTGTGTAATACGGCAAGACCTCTGGTCTCTCAAAGGCACAAGTTCTGGCAGTCCCAACCCCAACACTTCTTAGTTGAACTTCTCTCTGAGCCTCAGTTTCCTCATCTGTAAAATGGAGATCCTGATAGAGCCTTACTTCGCAGAAGAGTCATGAGAGTTGAATGAGGTGGCACATGCAGAGTTTTGTAACCTTTAAGCACTTTATGATAGCAGATGTTGTTGTCGGTGTGAGCATTGAGAGGCAGTGTTGCCTAGTGGGTAGAGAGCTCATCTCCAGATCAGGATGACTTGGTTTCAGGCCCTGCCTCCATGACAGACTACCTGTGTGCCTCTGATCCAGGCATCTCCCTAAAACTTTCAGTGGGAGTGCTGATCTACCTTCGGAGTCCATGCTCCTCACTGAAAGTTACCCATCCTGATGAAATCCCACGTGTAGTCCCAGTTATAGTGGTGGCCTTGTTCATGACCATGTGGTTGGAATCGTGGCAATGTCACTGTGCTTCCCACCAAGAGGGAGAGGCGTCGGGGATGGGCTGGCATGCTTCTCCTCTGAGACCCAACCTTCTGAAATGCACAAGGGCCAGGGTCTTCCTGAGCACCGATTGGAAACCCAGACCCTAGTAGCATTCCCAGAACCCTCTGGCTGCTCCCCTCATGCCTGGTGCATTCCCCCCTTTGTGGATTAGCAGGCTGGAAGCCAGGAGACCTGGGCTTGAATCCTGGCCCCCGTCACCAATGTACTCATTGTGGCGCCTCTCTGCTTCCTCCCTTGTAGAAGGGTAGGTTTGCCTAGGTGGCCCCAGCAGAGATTCTGGACCTCTGCTCCTTCACAGAACTGAGCTTTGCTCAAGTGTCTTGCCTTGCACAAAGTGTTGGGAGAGGAGGGCCTTGGTGGGGCAATTTGGGGTTTTCTGGAGTGGTTTTGCCCTTTCCTTCTCTGGCTCATTTTACAGATGAGGAAACTGAGGCAAATGAATTGGGGAGAGGTTCATTGTGTCAAGAGCTTTGCTAAAACCTATATAATCTAAGACCACCATGTTCCCTTCCTCTGCTATTGCAGTAGTCTGTCCAAAAAGGAGATAGGTTAGTCTGGCATACCCTTGTCAGGATGGCGCCAGGCTGACCTGGGTAGACCTGCCCTTCCCAGCTCTCTGGCCTCCTGGTTCCCAGGTCCATGTCTCTTGCATGCCCCTGGGTACATGGAGCTGGGAACAATTTGGTGACCTGTCAGCCCAGGCTCCCTCCATGTCTCCACATGCTCCTCTTTGTGGGTGGATACTGCCCTCAGTGGTCATTCTTCCCTATGTCCACTGAGCTGACATATGGTGTTCCTAGGAATGGCTATGGCGCCATTGGGCTGGTCCTTCCCTGAAGAGGGAGCCCAAGTGGGCTCATGGGACAAGGGAGAATGAGTGTCCAGTCAGTGAGAATCAGCTGCAGGTGGTGTGTGCATGCGCGCGCGCATGTGTGCGTGTGTGTGTGTGGAGCTATCCTTATCTGCCAGCTGAATGGGGAGGTGTGTGCATGTGTGTGTGCGTGTGCGTGTGTGTGTGTGTGGAGCTATCCTTATCTGCCAGCTGAATGGGGAGGTGTGTGCATGTGTGTGTGTGTGTGTGTGTGTGTGTGTGTAGCTATCCTTATCTGCCAGTTGAATGGGGAGGTGTGTGCATGTGTGTGTGTGTGTGTGGAGCTATCCTTATCTGCCAGCTGAATGGGGAGTTGTGTGCATGCGTGTGTGTGTGTGTGTGTGGAGCTATCCTTATCTGCCAGTTGAATGGGGAGGTGTGTGCATGTGTGCGTGTGTGTGTGTGGAGCTATCCTTATCTGCCAGCTGAATGGGGAGGTGTGTGCGTGTGTGTGTGTGCGCGTGTGTGTGTGTGCGTGTGTGTGTGTGTGTGTGGAGCTATCCTTATCTGCCAGTTGAATGGGGAGGTGTGTGCGTGTGTGTGTGTGTGTGTGTGGAGCTATCCTTATCTGCCAGCTGAATGGGGAGGTGTGTGCATGTGTGCGTGTGTGTGTGTGGAGCTATCCTTATCTGCCAGTTGAATGGGGAGTTGAGTGCATGTGTGTGTGTGCACGTGTGTGTGTGCGTGTGTGTGTGTGTGTGTGTGTGTGTGTGTGTGTGTAGGCTCCAGGGGGCATTTCCCTCTTCTTCCCCTACAGGTCCCTGGCCTCTCCAAGGTAGAGACTCCATCACAAGGACTGGCGACCAGTGTTAGGTGGGGGCAGACGCCCATCAACCAATCCACACCTTGGGACACGGATGAGCCGCCACCTAAGCAGATTCGGGAAAGTGAGAACCCAGGTACACAGTGGCCAGTGCCGTGTTCCCTCCCTGATAGGGCCAAAGAGGGTTTCCCCCCCCCTTCCCCCTTCTCTTCTCCTCCCTCCCTCCCACACTTCCCTAGCCACATCTCTCTGGCCTTCAGAGCTCACCCATTCTCTGACCCTCCCTCTTCTTCCCTCCTTCCAAGGGTTCTGCCCAAAGAACCAGCCCAACCTGGGCACCAGGGACTCCCACCAGCAGCCTGGCTGCGTCCTGATGCCATGGAGGGCAGGGACTCTGAGAAGGCACCTCCTAAGTGTGGCCGTCACTGTTTTCTGCAGCAGGGGTCTGGGCATGTCGCTGCGTATGGCTCACTCCACATACACCCATCCAGGCACCTCATTCCATTCTATTACATTCATCTCCCCTGAATTCAAAGCACAGAATCAGAGACCCTCAGAGTAGGAAAGGCCCCCCAGCAGCCTCCAACCCAACCCAGCCTCAACAGGTACCTCCAGCACCTGACAAGTGGGTATCCAGACTCTTGAAGATAGCCCCAGATGAGGAGCTCACTAGCACCCTTGTATGCCTGCCCCCATTAGGGAGGTTTTCTGGCCCTTTGGCACCTCCCTTCACTGCTGTGCAGGGGGCGAGGCTCCAGCCCAGTGCTCAGGGAGCTTACACTCCAATCAGACACACCCAGGTAAGTACTGCACAAGGCAGGTGTGCTGGGGCCAAAAGCCGAGGGCCGTCAGAGCCCCATGGCACGAGAGAAGGGCCTGGCAGAGCCCAGAGTCAGAACCAGGGGAGCCTGGGGAGAAGGGCAGCCCTGGCTGGCCCTAGAACAAAAACGAGGATTTCAGCAGCTGGGAAGGGGGAGGGGGCATCCTGGGGGCAGGGAGGAGGGGGTGAGTGTTCTGAGGAGACCCTCTCCTCTCTGGGAGCTGACCTCCACCTGTGTCCTTCGAGGCTCACAAAGTGCTCTGTGTCAGATGGAATGAGCCATGGGCATGGGCGACCTTGGCAGCTGGGGCAGGGGCACCCTTCTGTTGTGGGGGAGGTCGGAAGCCAGATCTGAAGAGGTGAGAAGTGAGTGGGAGGTGAGGCCAGGGAGGCAGGAGACAGCTGGTGGGGAGGGACCAGCATGAGAGCTGTGGCAGAAAGGCCCCCTCCCCCCCGTCCACAGCCCACGTCCTGGCTCCTTCCAGGAGAACTGACGCTGCTCCCAGGGACACTGGGAAAACATGTCCCTTCTTTCTGGGCCTTTGCTGATCCCAAGCCCTTTCTGTCTCTCTGTCATCTCCTCTGGACCCACAGGCATCCTCCTCCCTAGCTTAGGGAGGGAAACTGAGTCCTGAAGTGGGGTCATAGAGCCCAGACGTGGCCCAGCTGAAGTCCCACCCCAATCTCTGGCCTCAGGCCCAGTGAGCCGCCCGCCCACTGCTCCGCTGTGTCTCCGTGGTGCTAAGCAGGGTCTCAGAGACTCATGGCATGCTTGGAGGGCCTTCTTTGGAGCTTAACATAAAGAGACCACCATGATCCAGCTGGATCCCACTGAGCTGGGAGCAGGGAAGGCCCTTGGAAACCAGCCCAGAGAGAGGAAAGTGCCGAGGCTCTGCCTGGGCCCTGGGGCAGCCTCTTCCAGTGCCCTCAGACGGGCTCTCTCATCTCCCAGCTCCCACCTCCCCACACCAGGCCTTTTCCACAGTAATCCCACAGGGCCTCCCTCCTTCCTGGCCTGGGCTTCCTGTCCCAGGAACTCCTCAGAGGCTGCCCTCCCCTCCAGCGGCCCCACCAAGGCCCAGGCTGGGCACTCTATCCTGCCCGAAGTCCTTCCCCCGATGCTGGCCTTGCCCAATACTGTCCTCCTCTAAGGCACAGATTAAGTGCACACCCCTCCATGAATTTCCCCCTCACCAGATGGCCCCAGGCTGGGGGCTGTCTTCAATACCCTCTACCATCTTGGGGGGGGGCATGCAGGAGCCCCCTGAGCACAGGGAGCATGCCCCTTCTCCCCTGGGCCTGGCGGTACTGAGCCCGGGCCCCCTGCCCCCAGGGGAGAGGGCGTCTTGCAGACCTTTGTCCAAAGCAGTGAATTCAGCTAATGCTTGCCCCCTCTCTGTTGCAGGGACCACGCCCTGGGTTACCACAGTGACCGCAGGGAGCCAGCCGGCCCTCCTCGCCCACACCTACGGGATGAGCCAGCCTCCCGCCTTCAGTCCTGCCGTGAGCGTCCCAGCCCCTGTCATCGGGGTGACCCCCTCGCTGCCTCTGATTCCGGCACACTACCAACTCCAGCCTCAGCCTCCACAGCCCTTGAGCAGTCTGGTGGTCACCTTGCCCAGTCAGAGCCTGTATAGCGGCAGCCAGCCCCTGAGCCTAACCTCGATGCCTGGCGTGGGACCGGTGACCCGCCCAGGCCCCGCAGCTGTAGGCAACGGGCACATGGCATGCCCGGTCCTGCCGCCGCCGCCGCCTCCCTCCGTGCCTATGGCTGCCCTGCCCAACAGCGTCCCCACCACCAATGGGCCGGCAGTGCCCCCGGCCCCTCCCGCAGACTCTGCCCAGGGCCAGAGCGTCCAGATGCTTCGGACAATCGGCATGGGGAAATACGAGTTCACAGACCCATGGCACCCCAAAGGTACGTAGGTCTCACGGTCCTCCCCCGGGGGCTCTCATCGCCCCAGGGAAACCCAGCTGGGCCAGGGAAAGGCCGGGACCATCTAGCAGTCTGTCAGGACTGGGGCCTCATCGAGGCTGGGGTGAGGAAGGTCCGAGGCTGGCACAGGCAGAGAGACCAAAGACATGAGGAGGGGGCAAAGAATTAAGGGAGGGGCCGCAGGAGGAAGACTAGAGAGGAACCTGGAGGAAGAGCAGTGGGAGGTGAGGGCAGGGAGGGGGGATGGAGGAGAGGGACAGAGGATGCAGAGGACAGGGCCCTACGAGGCCAAGGCAGATCATCCTTGCACTGAGGCCGCAAGGCGGGCCTCCCGAGCACTGGCTTGCCTGTGGAGGGGGGATCTGCCCTTTCCTTGGAAAGCTTACAATGCCTTCAGGTGCTCCCCCATTCTCAGCCCAAGGAAAGCATTTGCATGGCCAGCCTTCAGGGGACTGGATCGGCCCCCTCTGACATCCCTTCAGTCTACCTGACCGCCCTATTACAGGGTGAGGCCTCAGCCAGATTGCAGATAGGCTGGCCAGACCTCAGCCAGGCCCCAGACAAAATGCAAATAGGCCAGGGCAGACCT